TCTGTCAAACTCCAGTCGCAACGGAGAAAACGCCAGCGGACTGGAGAACGCGGATTATAGTACCCCCTGTTAAACAAGGGAGACAATAGGGAATGCTTCAATTATCGGTGCATTACCTTATTCAGCTTCCTGGGTATAATCTACGTAAGGTACTAGAAAGGAGGTGCTGAGGAATAATTGAATCCAAACTACAAGAAAAATGTCGCATACAGAATGGCCAAAGCACTTTAACCAGACATTCGCCATATAAAAGATTGCTGAGAAATCGTTGGAGTTCGCTCATGCGCTAACATGTGTTGTGTGGGCCAAGAGAAAGCCTATGACTGGAACCCGCGAAACAACCTATGGGCATGCCTGCGAACATACGGAATTAATGGCTCGTTGCTACAGTGCATCCAATCACCATATGGTGATAGCAGATGGTGCATGCATCAGAGTAAATGGCGTCAAGTCCAGACATTTCAGCGTTGGCACTGGTCTCTCCGCAAAGGCTACGCTTTGTCCCCTCTTCTTTCTGTGTTGCACGCGGATTGAATGGTCAGGTGCAGCCAGGGCGAAGAGTGTATCAGTGAAGGAAATATCGAGACGAGAAGGTTGCTGTCTGCAGAAGACCTTGTTTTATTGGCATCTTCTGAAACTGATCTTCAGTGCTCAATAGAAAGGCTCGCAACCGAGTGCTGTGCGACGTGCCCGGCATGCGTATGAACGTATCTAAAACGAAAAGCCTAGCGTTTTCTCGTTCTCCTGCCCATTTGCTCTCTTCAGATAAACGGAAAAACAGTATAAAAGTTGAAGTTTACGGAATCGTCTTTATTGGTGATGGAAAACTTGAGGAAGAGATCGACTGGCGGACTGGAGTAGCCAGTGGCGTTGTGCTAGAACTAGCCCAATCCTTTGTGACTAAAGCAGATTCAGTCTGAGAACTAGCTGTCTGTGTTCAAGTCGTTCTTTATCCCCATGGTCATCCCGTGGTCAATGACTGAAAAACGTCGACTCAGAGTACAAGCAGTTGAAATAAGCTTTCCGGGACGAATCGCTGGGCTCACGCGTTTCGACATGGTCCGCAGCTAATATATCAGAGAGAGTCTTGACGTACAGTCACTGCTTTTTCAGACAGAAAAGTCACAGCTGCGATGATTTGGGCACGTGTTGTGAACGCCTCCAGAAAGGAAAGCGAAGCAACAACTACTTGCGCTGTCGACCGGAAAAAGATTAACTTGGGGAAGGTGTACTGAAGGAGTCCTTTGAAGACTCCGATTGTTTCCTGCCGAAGCTCATATGCTGGCACAGGATAGAGAAAGTTGAAAGCATTGAGTGACACGTCTACCTCCACGACTCGAATGGAGAAGCGGTCATAGAAAGTGAAATGAACTCAGTATAGTTATAGCTATTCTTAGTAAGACGTATAATACCAATAATGGGTTTTTAGGACAGCGTATGTTAAAAAGCGACCAAATATATAAGGATGCTTTGCGAAGGCGGAAGAGAAGGAGCAACGTGTGAAAGATCTAGCAACAAACGAGGCATCGAATAAGCCGGTAAAATAATGCGATGTGCATCTAACACTTTAGGTACTCAAAACCATTGAGGCCTATTTAAATGACATCCAGCGCATCCTAGAGCGGTCAACATGACACGGAACCCAGCGTGGAACAAATTATGCGCTTATAAAATAATAACGATACAATCAGCACTTTTGAGCGAAATACAATGGAGACCGTCCCCCTTTCCCCTTTTGCTCAAAAGCGAGGTCAAAAGTTAAGATGGTGCCCTAAAAATTACAAAGCAATGGACAGGGATGCCAGTCAATTATCATAAGCAACATACTGCTCGATCACTCAACAGATGAATTACAACAAAATATGCAATGCAGTAGTGCCGGTTGACAAACTAACCATACAACCGATTTCTAAGTAACCTGTTACTTGAAAAGAATCGTTTTGAATACTGGAGAAACAAAATAACTTACCTAAGGTACTGAAGCCAGTGTGGAACATTGTTCAGCAACGTCAGTGTATAATATGAGTACCTTATAACTTCAGTCAACGACCACGCAATTGCGTATAATGCGAAACCAAGTGAAACCTGTGCCTAAATAAAATACTTATAATAAATATGCTAGTTTTACAAATCAGAACATTTCAAAAACATTTATTTGTGTGTATTAATACCAGGACGGAGACAGTGCCACAGTGCCTTACAACCCATTATAAAGGAGCTATGCTCCGCTCATATAGTAATTTTATTCTATATGCCACCGTCTTCGTAACTTCAGCATAGCTAGCTCCTCCTTGAAGTTTTCCAGAAGCAAGAACTGACATATTCATGGGAGATGCTGCCTGAACATAACTATCAATTATAGATTAATTTAACGCTGCCATCACCAGATGACAGTTCGTCGAAACTAGTCTAAACGGTGACCACACGTGAAAAGTGACGGGTATTTGCGGAAGATTACCACTTCGAAGTCCTCTCTGTAATTTATCTTCTGCGTCCCCGTCGCTGAGAACGCATGAAAAGTGCCACAGTAGAGAAACCAATGATAGTGGAAAGCAGTACGGAGCGCATACATCACCATACAGAGTAATAAAACTTTTCTACTGTCCATGTGTGATTTTGAAGAAATTTTCACCCAAGCCATTATTAAAGCCAAGGAGTAAACTTAAATACGCAGGAAACAATCCTCCCTTAGGTACATGGATAAATTTAGTAATAATCAGGTAATTCCTAATTCCTCAACTCCCCGTTGCCCGCCCCAAGCCCGGATGAGAAAGGATGAGGGTTGGAGACCGTAGCAAGTCTCCGTAAAATTTTACCATTACTACTCATGGTATTGACGCCATTGAAAATTACACCGGCTCGGTCGTCGCCCGGGTTACCAAGGGCCGCGCAGGCTGCAGGGGAACTGAAGCAAACTGCGAAATGTCGACCATCAGAACCTGCCCATCGCCCTACGAGAGCCGGGGGCGTCGCAGCACAACGACGGTTAACGAAGACCGAAGGAACGACGACGAAGATACCGGTCAGCAAGGGAGTCGCTCCCCGTTATGAATGGATGAGACAGACAGAGCGATGCCATTATAGCATGTCAGAAAAGGCTCCACGAGAACGACACCACCAATGGGAGCTAAAAGTCGGAAATTGGAACATATCCTTACTCAGAGGAAAAGAACAACAATTGGTTGATGAGGCCGTAAAGTACCAACTCGACATTGTTGGACCATCGTCAACAAAACGCCCAGGTTCTGGACTCCTGAACCTCAATGGACGGAAGCTGTTCTACTCAGGCGTGGATACCAAGAATCGCGCTCTGGCCGGTGTTGGCATTCTGGTAGAACCCTACCTTGCCGATAGAATAATCGATTGGAAGCCTGTCAGCGTAACGGTGGCAATCCTCCAACTGAAGCTACAGCAGGCTATATCGATTACCTTCGTACAGGTCTATGCGCCCAATTTGGAGGGAGAATACGAGACCTTCCTTGAAGAAGTGCAGTGTGTTCTGTCCGAAGTGCCGAATACACAGTCTCTCATACTGATGGGCGATTTTAATGCGCACGTCGGAGTAGACGCTGAAAAGTGGAACGGCGTGATTGGAAAAACCGGCTCTACCGACCTCAACAATAACGGTATGAAGTTCTGGCGGTTTTGTGCAAACAACGGATTGTTAATTATGAACACCTTCTTTGAGCAG